ATTAAAGTAATTACAATTAATGAATAGGTTGGCTTGAGGGAATGCTAGTAAAGCTACCGTCATGAGTTCTTTGAATTTTGTTTTAAAAATTGGGTTCCAGATATTTTGAGATATGTAAATAAAAATTATAAATAAATAAAAGGTAATGATCACTGGAAAGTTCAATTGCCGGGTGTTAATTTTGAGTCCAATCTCAGGCAAGTAAAGCTACCGTTATGAGGTCTCAAATTTTTGTTTAAAAAAAAAGGTTCCCAAATATTTTGAGATGTGTAAAAATTATAAATAAATAAAAGGTAATGATCACCTGAAAATCTAACTGTGGGGGTGTTAATTTTGAGTCCAATCTCAAGCAAATGCTAACAAGGTGAATAAAGCTATCGTCATGAGTTCTCAAATTTTGTTTAAAAAATAAGGTTCTCAAATATTTTGATATATGTAAAAATTACAAATAAATAAAAAATAATGATCACTTGAAAGTCTAATTGTCAGGTGTTCAATCTCAGGCAAAAGCTAACAAGTTAATTATGAGAATATGATAAAAACTAACTCGGAAAAGAGTAAAAAAGTTAAAAAAAATATTTTGAAATGCGAAAGAATTATTTTGAATTTAGTGATGAGCGTGTCGAAATTTATGTATTTTTTTTTAATTTTTTTCTTGTGCACCATGATAGTTGTTAACAGGATCCTTATTTGATTAGTTAAAAGATGACATTTTCCACTTCAAATGAAATTATTAAATGGATCTAATTTTATTCACAAACAAGTTTTGGTTGGCTAAAAATAATGAAATTTACAATTTTAAATGGGATAGCACATTTTTTGGATGTAGGGTTTACAATTTTAGATCAATTAAATTTTGTGTTTTATTCACACACTTGAGAGTGTGTCAACAAATTTAAATTCCATGAGATGGGACACATCATGCGGTTTTAACTAATTAAATGGTATATTTTGTTGACATATCTTATTGGCATATATATGTGAACAAAAAAAATTACCTTAATTCCCCATGAAATCTAATTTTACCACTATCCTACTGTTAGCTTACCATCTCATTTTATCCTCTTTTGTTTTTTGTTTTTTGAAACATCAGTCCCTTCCTCGGTCATGCAGTTATAAAACGCTCCATCCAATTTTCATGATTAAAACAATTATTTAGGCTCATCCCATCAGTAAAATCATGATTAAAAACCCATCTTTCATGATCTTATTTACTATGTGGAATTTAAAAACTTCTTCATTAGGGGGTGTTTGAAAAGAGTTTTTTTTAGTGTTTTTAGTTTTTTTTTTTTTTTGTGGCTAAAATAGCACTAAAAGACAAAATAGGCTAAAAAGACAAAATGTCACATTAAATTTATAATCATTTCACTTTTTCTCTCACAACATCACATCTAACTACAAAAAAATCTAACTATCTTTCCAAACACAAAAATTTTAGCCTCTTAAAATAGCCAAAAATTAAAATAACATATTAAAATAACAACTTCCCAAACACCAACTTTGTGTACCCTGGAATGTCAGTCTAGCTTTGTATTCAAAAACACTAAAAACTTCTTCAAAAGGCTCCTTCCTTTCTCTTCCATAATTAAAAGCCAACACACTGGCTCCTTCCATCATATTACCATGATCCAAGGCCCTCTCTCTCCCTCTCTCTCTCTCTCTCTCTCTCAAGTTAGAGGAAATTATCTAAATTGTCCAAACTTTTTCACAAATTTTGAAAATTCTTCTTTATTTATGCATGTGTATATCTATATTACAATACTTTTTCCCCTCCTTTTTTTTCTCACTTGTTTCGTTTATTTATTTATTTATTTTTCTTTCTTGCTCACTAGTTAGTTTTTTGATTGTAAGAGCATCCCCACCAGTTTACCTAAATTTTATCCTAAAATATTATTAAAAAATTCATTCCCTATTTTAGAAATCACTTTTTCATTTATTTTCCCAGATAGACTTTTTATTCTTTCTATATTCTATTAACAAATTCCCTATTTTTATTTTATTTTATTAAAATATAATTTTTAATTATAAATTTTAAAAAATAAAAATTATAAATGTGTACTGCAGTCCCTAAACAAAATAAAGCCAAAAAAAAAAAAGCAAGAAAAAAAAATTATAAGGGAGCTACAATGACTCCCTACAAATAGGGAGCCACTGTAGCAAAAATTAATTTAAGACATTATTTTAGAAAACTAATGCAGGTGTATAGGGAGTTATCTATTTCTTAAAATAGGTAAGGAGGGGGTTTAGGGCTTTCGGTGGGGATGCTTTAAGTTGACATAAAACTATCTTAAAAAAAAAGCTAACATAAATGAGATATAAACAATTAGATACATGGTAAGTAGGGATGTTTTTGTTTTGGGTGAATAAGTAGGGATGTTGTGCCACAAAATGTTTCAATTTCGAGTTTTGAATTTGAGTTGTATAAAAAATTGTTGTTGTTGTTGTTGTTTTTTTTTTTTTTTTTTTTAACTTAAATACTCAAAATTGTACTATTTTGAGGCACAACATCTCTACAGCTAACAAAGAAATGCTTGAACATTTTATTTTTTTGGGAATTGGGGTTTGGGTTGGGGGGTGGGGAATGACACCACAGTGGTATCAGTAAAACATAATTATAAATAGATGATAAACATTATAAATATTAATAACAATTATAAACGTCACCATGAATTCGTAATAATTTTTCATTATCACCACTGAAGAGTGATTTTCCCTTATTTATTTTTATTTTTTAAAATTTTTTATAAAAAAGAATACTTCAACATGTTTATATTCACTAATTCATGTTTTTCTTTTGTTCCAATTGACAAATTCATGTTAATACACTTTCTATACATACATCTGTGAAATTATGTACTCATCATCATATACTTTCTTTTGTGTCCACATCTTACGGTATAAATAGATAGAAGATTTCATTCCAGAGTACCAAAAAAAAAAATAAAAAACAAAAAAGGTAGAAGACAAAATAATTACAAATAAGAAAAATAAAACAATCGCCAAAAATCAGCTACTACCAAACTATATATAAAAGCAAATTTTCTTTCCAAAGAAGAGAAAAACAAGAAAATAATTCTTATTTGCTTTTCCTCTGCCATCTAGTATATGTACATCTAATATTCTTCTTATCTTTACCTACCACATGGTTGTTCTAGTTCATAAATATGGTTGTGCGAGCTGAATGTTGAATTTTGTGGCCACTATGTTTTAATTTTCTGAAAATTAAATTTTTTAGTTTTTCATATTTTTTTTTAGTGAATATTTTTAAAAATTTAAACAATTTTTTTACTTTTTTAGATGTACCTTACTAAGATGTATCTAAAAAGTAAAATATTTTTAAAAAATTAATAAATACACAAGAATACGAAAATTTACTGAATTTTTATTTTTATTTTGTATTTTTGGTATTTAGTAAATTTTTTTAAAAAAAATTCACAAATATTATACTTTTTAAGTGTATTTATGTTAGGTGTATTTAAAAATTAAAAAATTACTTAAAATAATTAAAAAATTCAGTGAAAACAAAAAAAATACAAAAAATAAAAAAATTTAATTTTCTAAAAAATGAATCCCAAAAACTGAAGCCAAACAATTCACAAATAATTTCTTATACAACAATAATTTTACGTGATATATTTCATCAAACTTGTAAAAATGTCACTGCTATTCTTTAGAAATTTTATCCGTTTATAAAATTCTATTTTGGATAAATTAGAAGTACATCCCTTGAGATTTACTTAAAATATAGATTACCTCATGTGATTTAAAAAATTACAAATATCCCTTATGAGAATTTTCTATTTAACAGAATTAACTAAAAAAATGAAATTCACAATTGCTCTTCTATACAATAGTAAAATTATATAAATTATTAATTGAAATATATTTCTAATATCATTAAAAACTGTTGATGACTTGATAGTTTATTAATAAAAGTGGTGATTTATTATGAAATTAAAAATCTCAAGAGGTGAAATGTAATTTTCAAAACCATAAGAATGATTCGTATTTTAATCTAACCATATATTTGTAATTTACCCAATTATTATTTTTCCTTTTGTTGGCCAGACAGAATTGAACCTTCCTTAATTCTTATTTTGAATGATGGAATAAGTGAATAACCTTCCAATCAACTAACCCAAACAAAAAACAAAATAAATGAAAACAACAACAAAAAAACAAAAGAAGTAAAACCTTTAAAATAGAAGAAGGGTGTGGGAATACATAAATGTGGTTCTAGTATAGATACATTCTCTCATCATCAACCTTCACATATATATATATATATAATCTTATAAATTCATGTATAGACCATCAAATCTCCCCCACAAGATCAACCCAACTGGATTATGGAGAGTCGTCAATCATAATTGCAATGAGAGAAGGCATAGATTGGAGATTGTAAAGGTCAAATGCATGGAATCATGCTCAGTTAGGATAAATAAAATAAATAAAATAAAGCAATTTACAAAATGAGGCAAAAATATGAAATAAATAAAATTTGCATATGAAGTTTATCATATATAAGGCTCACCTTATATCCCATATATGTATATTATTCTATAAAAATCATATACGATGCTGAGATTTATTAAAGCCTTACTTGACATAACTTATTTTAGTCTATCTTTTTATCTTTTTTGGGTTACATCAATCAATATCCCTCTATACTTTTCTACACATCTTTTTATAAAAAGTTAAAAAGTACACTTATTTAGCACATGCCAAACCACTCCTGAAACAGAATATTGTAATAAAGCCAACCTTTAGGAATAAGAAATTCAGTTCAACTGTTCACACTCATAATCACTCTTGTGTTCAAAGTCTCATCAAACTTTTTTTTGCGAAAAGAATGTTAAGAATACAATAATGTTTAGTAGTGATCCAGTGATTGGTACCCACTAAAATTGCATTTTCTCAAAGGCCCTCCTCCGAATCTTTATGTTACAACAACCCGGTGGGCCCATCTGCACTGGTGTATTATAATTTATATGTATGAACTGGAATGAGATTGATTGTGTTATTGAGTTGGGTGGTGTACATATCTCAACTCAACTGTGATGTGAGTAATAATCTAGAGTATAATTACCCCATCTAACTCCTTTACTCCATTAACAACATACATCCAGTCCAGTGGGTTCAAATTCGAATTTGGAGGGTGGGACACAGAAACAAGAATCAAGGCAGTGTCACGTCATTTCCTCCTAAAAGCAAGGGTATTTCCGGAATAAGAACCGGTGATTTCGCCACGTCAGAAATTGCCAAACTGGCATTGTGGCTTCAATCTCGGACGACGACCATGCACGCGCATGACGCCCCCCCAATTCCTTTCCCTTTATAAACCCACTCTCTCCCTCCACAATTCTCTTCATCTTCCTAACTTCAAATCGTGGCATCTTCTTCTTCTCCCCCCCTCTCTCTCTCTCCCTCTCTCTCTCTCTCTCTACAAACTTTCTCTCTCTACAAAATAACATGCACAAAAATATATATATGTATAGAGAAGAAATGTACAGTAGTCAGAAATCATCCAGAGAAGACAGATTAAAAAGAAATCCTCGAAATCCATCATTCTCTTCCAGTCTTCTTGACGAAATCTACCGTTCCATCGATGGCGGGAACGAGAAATGCCAAGAATTGAAGTTTTATAAGGATAGAGTCGTCAAGAAACAGAGTCATGGCAGTAGTGTCCAGGATGAAGACATGGCGAGCCTCCGCCGAGCATGTCTTCTCGAGAAGTGGATGGAAAAGAAAGTTCACGACAAGGTTTCGGGTCGACGACGCCAATCGGTACCCGAATCAGAGGAGAGAAAATTGCAGCACCGCAACACTGATGCTCTGTTCTTCAGTTCCTCTTCAAGTTCTTCTGATTCTAGTTCCGGTGCACTCTCAATCTCATCCTCCGACACTGAGTTTTTGGGGAAATCGAGGACTTCTTGTTTCACTGCAAAGAGGCCAAAGCCAGTGAAGACTAACGTTTCGGAGAAATTGGGAAAGGCTGAATACTATGAACAGAGTGAGTACTACTTGTTCGATGATTATCCTCATCGGAAAAACCATGAAGATTTGAAGAATGAAGATGGTTTGATAAAATCAAAATTGAGAGCTTTAAAGATTTACAGCAATTTAAAGAAGGTGAAACAGCCAATCTCGCCTGGGGGTAAGCTCGCGAGCTTTTTAAACTCTCTGTTCAGTAATGGAAATTCGAAGAAGAAGAACTCAAGCTCATCATCAACTGGAGGTTACGAGGATGTGTGTGTGGAGAGAAAAGCAAAGTCCACTCAAGCATCTACGTGTTCATCGGCATCTTCATATTCCAGATCATGTTTATCTAAGTCCTCACTGAATTCGAAGGAAAAACCCAACAGTGGTGTGAAAAGAACTGTAACATTCTATCCAGTGAGTGTGATCGTCGACGAAGATTGTCGTCCTTGCGGCCACAAATGCATATATGAAAACAATTCCAGCAAGTATGGGATGGAAGAGGTAAAGCGCCGGCAAGTTCTTGTGGAAAAGAGTCGGAAAATTGAAGAGGCCGCAGCGGCGAGAGAGATTTTGAAAGGGTATGCAAAGAATGCTATGGTGCTTAGTGGTAATGAAGTCGACTATGACGATGCGGCTAGTGATTCAAGCTCGGATTTGTTCGAGCTTGATCACTTGGCATTTATTGGGAATAACAATCGTAGATTTTGTGAGGAACTTCCAGTTTACGAAACTACCTTTCTTGATACGAATCGTGCCATTGCTAGTGGCTTGATTCGTTAGTTTCATAATTGTTATCTTTTTTGACAATATCATTTTCTTTGAATATATAGATACGCTTTTAATTAAATCAAATTTGTGATGGGTTATTATGATCATTGTTAATTTTTCTGTGGTGATTTTGATTTTGATTTTGTAAGTGAATTATGGGAGTTTGAGAGAAAAAGTGAAGAGAAGACAAGATGCTGAAAAAGAATGTATAGTGTGTGGGTTTTTTGCGAAAAGAATGTTAAGAATACAATAATGTTTAGTAGTGATCCAGTGATTGGTACCCACTAAAATTGCATTTTCTCAGAGGCCCTCCTCCGAATCTTTATGTTACAACAACCCGGTGGGCCCATCTGCACTGGTGTATTATAATTTATATGTATGAACTGGAATGAGATTGATTGTGTTATTGAGTTGGGTGGTGTACATATCTCAACTCAACTGTGATGTGAGTAATAATCTAGAGTATAATTACCCCATCTAACTCCTTTACTCCATTAACAACATACATCCAGTCCAGTGGGTTCAAATTCGAATTTGGAGGGTGGGACACAGAAACAAGAATCAAGGCAGTGTCACGTCATTTCCTCCTAAAAGCAAGGGTATTTCCGGAATAAGAACCGGTGATTTCGCCACGTCAGAAATTGCCAAACTGGCATTGTGGCTTCAATCTCGGACGACGACCATGCACGCGCATGACGCCCCCCCCAATTCCTTTCCCTTTATAAACCCACTCTCTCCCTCCACAATTCTCTTCATCTTCCTAACTTCAAATCGTGACATCTTCTTCTTCTCCCCCCCCTCTCTCTCTCTCCCTCTCTCTCTCTCTCTACAAACTTTCTCTCTCTACAAAATAACATGCACAAAAATATATATATGTATAGAGAAGAAATGTACAGTAGTCAGAAATCATCCAGAGAAGACAGATTAAAAAGAAATCCTCGAAATCCATCATTCTCTTCCAGTCTTCTTGACGAAATCTACCGTTCCATCGATGGCGGGAACGAGAAATGCCAAGAATTGAAGTTTTATAAGGATAGAGTCGTCAAGAAACAGAGTCATGGCAGTAGTGTCCAGGATGAAGACATGGCGAGCCTCCGCCGAGCATGTCTTCTCGAGAAGTGGATGGAAAAGAAAGTTCACGACAAGGTTTCGGGTCGACGACGCCAATCGGTACCCGAATCAGAGGAGAGAAAATTGCAGCACCGCAACACTGATGCTCTGTTCTTCAGTTCCTCTTCAAGTTCTTCTGATTCTAGTTCCGGTGCACTCTCAATCTCATCCTCCGACACTGAGTTTTTGGGGAAATCGAGGACTTCTTGTTTCACTGCAAAGAGGCCAAAGCCAGTGAAGACTAACGTTTCGGAGAAATTGGGAAAGGCTGAATACTATGAACAGAGTGAGTACTACTTGTTCGATGATTATCCTCATCGGAAAAACCATGAAGATTTGAAGAATGAAGATGGTTTGATAAAATCAAAATTGAGAGCTTTAAAGATTTACAGCAATTTAAAGAAGGTGAAACAGCCAATCTCGCCTGGGGGTAAGCTCGCGAGCTTTTTAAACTCTCTGTTCAGTAATGGAAATTCGAAGAAGAAGAACTCAAGCTCATCATCAACTGGAGGTTACGAGGATGTGTGTGTGGAGAGAAAAGCAAAGTCCACTCAAGCATCTACGTGTTCATCGGCATCTTCATATTCCAGATGCTATTCGCCACCCACCTGCTACCACCACCCGCTATCCACCACCCACCTGCCACCACCACCCGCCATCCGCTACCTACCTGCCACCACCATTCGCCACCCGCCACCACCACCACCACCACCACTAGCTACCCACCACCCACCGTCACCACTTTCCACCACCGTCTTCCGCCGCCACTTGCCATTTCTCACACTTTTTTTATATTTTTAAATTTTTTTAAGCATTTTATCAATTACCAAACGTGTTTGTAATTTATGTTTTTCTAAAAATAAACAAAAATCAGTTTATAAATTTTTTGTAAATATAAACTGAAAACGTAAACGTTACTAAACACACCTAAACTATTTTTCTTTTCACATTTCCTTCTCTGTTTTTTTTTTTTTTGGGACAATCAAATTCAAAATCTAAACACAAATTTAGTTTATAAGCACCTTTAGCCATGGCAACTTTCTTTCTATATCTCTATAGGGGTTTTGCTTCATACACCCAGTGGGGGTCGCGCCCCCAGTGACGTGGCGCGCTCCCACTGGTCGAAAATCAAAAAAAAAAGAAAAAAAAAATTATTTTTTTCGGACCAACCCCCAGCTGACACTTCACTGGGTGTCACCCCCAGCTGGGGGTAAAATGCATTTTCCTTTCTATAGTTTGGTTACCAAATTTTTTTAACTGAGATGTGGCACTTCAATCCTTACCTTTTGACGAAAAGGCGTATAGATGAAATTAGCCACTCTAAGAGGGAAGAGAAAGTGATAAAACAACATTAAAAATGGAAGGTTGAAATGAAGTTCGATCACAAAAGAAAATAAAATGTAATTTACCTCATTATATAAGACGTAGAGTGAAAAATACTATTATATAGAACAAAAATATTGTGTAATTTTTAGATTCAAAAGTATTAATTCATTTTTTTTGAAAATTCTAAATTTACAAAAGACAAAAAGACGCATGTTATTTAATAATTCAATTATATATATGTGTATATATATATATTTTAAGGTAGTAATTAATTATTTTATTATTATAGTAACACATTTTAATTTTTCTACTGTTGACCTTTCAAATCCCTTAATTGATGAATTTTTCAAAGTTTTTATATGGAAATTAAATCACTTGAAAAAAAAATTAAGAATACATTTATTTATTTATTATTATTATTTTTTTGGCACGAGGACACTACTTTAAACAGAAATTGATCAATAAATCTCGTATTTTGAATTTGTAATTCATATAGTTTCATATTTTTTCTTGTGATCCATTTAGTCATTTTTGATGTATAATGATTTACCCATCACATTGAAGTGTCACATTTAAAAAAAATACACTAAAGAGTTTTAGTGTCTCATTATACCTGTCACGTTGGATTGTCACATTTAAGAAAGGACACTAAGAAGTGTTTAATTTTTTAAAGTGTCATATCACACCCGCCATGTTGGAGTGTCACATGTCACGTTTGAAAAAAGTACACTAATGAATTTTTAATTTTTTTGCAGTGTCACATTATACTTGTCACATTGTCACATTTAGAAAAAGTACATTACTGAGTTTTTAGTTTTTTTATAGTGCTATATCATACCCGCCACATTATCATATTTGGGACATGTTGCCACATTTAAAAAAAGTATACTAATGACTTTTAGTATTTTTGGAGTGTCACATTATACCTGTCACGTTGTTACATTTAGAAAAAATACACTAACGAGTTTTTGTTTTTTTTTTTTTTTTAGTAAAAGATTTGAAGTGTCATATCATACCTGCCACATTGTCACATTTGAAAAAAATACATTAAGAAATTTTTAATTTTTTTGGAGTGTCAGGTCATACCCTTAACGTTGAAGTGTCACAGTAATACTTTCTAAATTTGAGTGTCACATCATGTTTGTCACATTAATTAAAGGGTATAATCGTCTACCAAAATACTACCAAAATTAAAAATAGAACCACACGAAAAGAAACTCTACACTAATAGGACTTAACATATCAATAGAAAAAATTTGAGACTGATTGAAATATTTATTTATGATATGAGACTTATTAGTAAATATTCCTACTTTAAAATGTTCACCTAAATTTTATTTCTTATTGCATTCTAAGGACTCTACAATAATTAGTGATTTGAATAGGAACAATTCTTTTTCCTACCTAGAGTCAAATTCTTTTTGTTTTGCATCAAAGTTAGACACTCATTATATGTTATAATTATGTATTAAAGTGTATATATTAAATATAAAATAATATAATATTTTTGGCACTAGTATTTTTTTGGGGGTATCATATAACATAATATAATCCTAACTAATGACATTGAGACAAACTAATTAAAGAAAGTTGTGATATATCATGTAATCAATTTACCTTCTATGCATGCAGTTTCCCATATGACATAACTCTATACAAATTGATCAATTCAAGAATTTCCAAACACAAAATTGAACAACAACAAATCAATCGGCACTTTTTTCATATTTTATATATTTTTTACACACTTATATTAATCATTGGTCATTTGAATTAGTATTTTCCCTAAACAAAATGTGATTTAACATTGTTGACTTATGAATTGAGACATGAACATTATGATAATGACAATTGGAATAATGAAGTAGGTGTGCATAAGTAAAATTAAAAGTCAATAATACTTTTTAAAGGCTTTTGTTTTGGGGTTGAAATTTAAATTCATTTGTTCAACACCTAATTACTTTTTTTTGATGAATTTATGCTTAAATGATTTTTTTTTAGATTGAATTAATAAAATACAATACAATCATAGTAATAGCAATAACCACAACTATTATACTATGATAAGCATGCAATGCAGATCCAACTAAGTAACCGTTCGAATAATTTGAGGACCACTTTGATTGAAATAGTTGGATGGACATTCTAAAAACAAGAAAAAAAAACCCTGTAGTCTAGGACCTACTTGCCATTAAGATTATTCATCACCAACTCAAGAAATTTGCAGCAACTTTTAGATGAGGTTTGGCAAATTTTTTTTTTCATTTTTTAATTTTATTTTTTAAATGTGAAAAAACGATAAGTTCGGTAATTGTTAAAAAAATTGTTTTAATTATGAAGAAAGTTTTGTGAGTCTTTTCAAAAGTAAATGCTAAGGATTTCAAATGTTTTATTAATATTTTCACCAAATGTCTCACAAAACATTTAGGTCCCTAGCATTACTCATTTTCAAATTTTAACTTTTTTGTGAGGAGTGCCATATTAATCTTATGGTGTTTGTTGAGTCTTTGTTAACATAATGAAAGCGACATGGTGGAAATTTTTAAAGTACAGAAAGTAAAATTGTTTTTTAACAATTTTGTAGACATTCCAAAAAAAATATTATGGAGAAGGATTTTTAGCTAAACCATATAGACTTTTTACTCTTTTAACTTTTTTAGCCACAAAAAATTATTTATTTAGAGATTACCAAGTAGGATCTTAGGCTATATTTGATTTTGAATTTCAAGACAATTTATGAAAGAAAGAAGAGTGAACCAAAAAAAAAAAAAAAACCCTTGTTTTCCATACACTTCTCTTTCATAAATTTGAAATCCAAACATTACATTAATTCTTAACCAAAAGCATAATGAAAAATTGTAATGACATGCTACAATTTTTTCTTACAAATTGATGTGACATGCTACAATAAATCTTCAAAAATTAAAATGAGATAGTAAAATAGCATATAGGAGCCACATAAATTTGAAAGAAGAAATTTTAAATTTTATTTAATAGTATAATACTATTCTATTTGATGTACTATAAAACAGTAATCATATATCAATATCTACTCCTATTAACATCAAATTTAATTATAAGGATGGACTTTATCATGATCGAACTACTGTAAAAGTTGAAAACCTTCAATATGCTTTTAATGTAATTGTTTTAAAACACAACAACACGTTTGTAGCAAACAAAATGAAAAACTAAGATGGTTTTACAAGCCTTCAATGGGCAATTAAAAAAAAAAAGGACAATAATATTTACAATAAAAAGGACTAAAATATTTAATGAGTACAAATTAATAAATTTTACAAATATCTTTTTACTTATTAAGCTTCGCATTAAATTCTAAAACTTCATTACTATTATACTATACGCTATGCAATAGTTTAAACCATTTTATTACTAATACAAATAGTTTAAATAATTGTAAATATATATATATTTTATAAAAAAATTACTACTGCAGAACTACAACTCAACTGAATTGTCCATTTCAAAATATTCTGACTTTTTTTTTTTAAGACATATTTTGTGAGTTAAAAAAAATCGTGTGAAAAAATTTAGAGACAATTACAAAAATAAATTCAGGATTTGAGTCTTGTGACAAAATAAATCCTGAGTTTTCAATTGTGTTAATTTAAACTCTAATCTTTTGATTTATTTTCAATTTAAATAATTCGTCTATTTTCGTTAAATAAAAGTGACGAAAAAAATAGTATTTTAATCATTAAATTCAATATAGATATATATAAAATGTCTAAAATACAATTTTTATTAAATTTAATGATTAAACTATTAATTTTTTCTTCGATTTTACTTAATGACAAATAAAATTTTTTTAAAAAAATAAAAAATTAAAAGATTTAAATTGACAAAATTAAAAAATTAAAATTTAATTTATTACAAAGTTTAAACCTTGAATTATTTTTATTTTTTATTTTTGTAATTATCAAAAAAATTAAAGTGGAGTGATGACTTTTATACTCTTTCTTCTCTTTCTCAGGTTTTAAGTCACTTCATGGATTGATGACAGAGAGCTCATAAATTATGAGTTGAAAAATTTACATCGGACTAGGTGGGTTCTTCATGGAGAATCTGACAAATATATTCATAATGGTTATATTTAGAAAAATAATAATCAAAATTACATATATGTGTTAATAATCATATATGTGTTACTCTATACATATATTTGTTAATAATCAGAGTCACTAAAACTATTTTGATATATAATTGAATATCACTTTCCTTATAACTAAATAATTACAACAAATAGTAACCAATACTACTTTACAAAATAACATAACAACATAATAAGATGCATTAACTTTGATTTGATAATTTATTATTATATCTTCATGACAATGGTGTATAAACAAACATCCTAATAGGTCTTACCAATATCATTTTAAATCATAATTTATATATAGTATGTCACTATAAAATATTAAGGTTTTAGAGACTAAAATTTAGAAATAAAATTATTTTTTAAGGGACCAAATATTTTTGTTGCGAAAAGTATTGTTATTATATTTTTAGCAACGAAAATTAGACATTAGTGATGAATTATTATCTTTTTGGGACCAAATTTTTTGTCTAAAAAAAAATCATTTTGAGACCAAAATTATTTTGTCCCTAAAAGTACATTTATTAGTGACATTTTCAAAATTTTGTCACTAAAAGCCTTATTTATGACTTTTCGAGATGACATTTTAACGAATATCCTTACGACGATATAAATTGATCCCTAAATATTTTTTACAATAAAATTTTTACTTTTAGAAACTAAAAAATTTGGTCTCTAAAACACTTATATGTTGTAGTGTGTATGTACCATATAAAAAATAATCAGTCAACATATGATTCTTAACCGGCCATAGGTAGTGGTTCCAAGCTTAAACTTGACCCTACTAGTTTATTATTAAGCATTAAAAAGAAAAGAGAAGAAAAAAAAGAAAAGAAAAGAAAGTAGATGGGTCAGTCTTAGGCATAATAATAATGAAGTAAGAAATATAAATTATTAGTACGGGACAAGTGAGGAGCATGCAACTGTGGAAATGGGGAGTCCCGCATAAAAATAAAAATAAAAAGAATCTTTGAGGTGAAAACAACTCTAAGATGAACATGAACAAATGATTAGGAACAAAGAAAGTAAAGATAGAAGTATGTTTGTTTAAGCCGGCAGTGGATTTGTAACTAATGTACTTGTTTGTTATGGTTAGTTTTGTGCATATAATTAAAGTAGTTTTGTAAAGTTTCTTTAATTGTGTATGATTATAACTAATATCTATGCAGGTTTGTGGGATCAATTAAAAAGGTTGTTTGGATCATTCCTTGCTTTGAGCTTCCCTCCTCCTTTGATGATATGGTACGGTAGGTGGAGTGGGGAAGTTGCCAACAATGATGAGAAGAATAATGTTCGTGGGGTGGGGGAGGTGGGTGGTGCAGAGAGAGTTGAAGAGACAACCTACTTAGGGCGTTGACCCTTCCCTTCTTCTATACTTCCCTCACCCTATTCCTAATCATCAAAATTCCCATTTATAATCATCATATTCCCATTGATTTGGTCTTGTTTACCTAGTCATATTAAGCAAAAATTATTTAAACTAAGTCTATTACTATAGTCACACGTTTATAAATTCAAATGCCCATATACTTTTCTTGAATTTAGATAATTTTTAGTAACAAAACATGCACAGAGTTTCAATATAACAAAATTAATTTTTGTTGATCTATTGGTTTAGTGAGTTTTTGAAGTCACAAAACAATGGATATACTATCTATAAACTCATCTAGAATTGAGTTTCTTCCTAGTTTACATTTCAATTTAAGAGAATTTGAGGGGTTCATGAAATTCACCACGAGTCTCATTTCGACGATTCGAATTATTCATTTTGTAAGACTCTCAGTGTATATCATTCATGAAAAAATTTAATTTGATCCAATAATCATAATATTTTTATTTTTTATATTTATTTTTATCTAAAAATTGAATGGTACGGTTCAAATATAATTGGCACAAGACACAAATAGCACAGCTCCAATTTCACTCCCAACTGAGTTGAAACTAGACCCTAGGCCTATTGGGCCCCATTTAAATCTTAAGATGGTAAAATGGCAAATATATGTTTTTGGGCCACCGAATTGGCTATGAAAAGGCCCATGTTTGAGTATTGGAATGGCCCAACGGCCGAAACTCTTCGCTTTGCTGTAGGTTTCTTGAGTTCAGTTTGTATGGAGACCGTGGTCACTAGCTTTCACTTTAACTAGGAAACATGTGATATAGTATGACATAATTTTTCTCATATTTTATTAATGAATTAGAGTACATTGGTTGATATAATTATGTAAGTTGATTGACAAAAATAAATAAATAAAATACAGATTGAAAAACTAAAATAAAGAGTATCAAAATTTGAGGATTTGGCCAAATTTGAAAAGAAAAGAAAAGAAAAGAAAGTGATTGGATCCGACTTGACTATAGTGATTGATCGCCAAAGTAATTTTTGAATGTGACTTCACTTTCTTTTTTAAAGGAAAAAAAACATCATAACCCTCAATTGTTGTCTTCTTCTTGTTTGTCATTAGCTTTGGAAGGAACCCTTGCTTGTTTCACTATGAAACCAATGGTAGTAATTTGTATGGATAGTCCTTTTTTTTTTTTTTTGTTATTTTTAAATAATTTTGAAATTATTTTTTAAATTTATATTGTTTTATAAAATTATTGTAGATGAGGTGTCATGAAACATTACGGAAGATTCACTTTAGGAAACAATCAAAGGTGGTGTGCTAAATGGATTTGGGAGCAGGGGCTCCACGGAATAATTTTATGTATCCATCCTTTTTTATCTCGAATTTATTCTGAATAAAATTGTATAGTTGTGATTGTATTTGTATAATGTGAGTGAGGTCTATGCGTAGAATAAAACTGAATCACAAGTTGATAATTCTTAATAAATTCAACATAGATAACGGTGAATTTGTAATATTACTCGAGCTCTCTCATCTCTCCTCTTGGGAGGAGGGAGGTTCCACCTCATAATCACTTTAACATAATTATTAGTATCTACATAATCAGATTATATTTATCTTAAAAAATATGTATAATAAATATAATTTTAAGAATAAATTATTTAATGAAAATAAATTGGTTATATAGTCATTAATGTTTAATCAATTCATTGTTTTAAAAAAATAAATTTTATAAATAAACAATTCAAATTAGGAAAAGTTTACATTGTGCACGTCTTGTTGGGTGCACATGGCATGCACCTTATGCAAAAAAACATAATTTCTCTCCCAAAACGTATAACTTTTGTCACAATTTTTTTTTTTGGTTCTCGCAAAATGTATAACTTCTCTCACAAAAAGTATCACTTTAATTATACATAACTTTTAGGGTGCATATCATAATTTCAAAATTCATATTTTCATCTCAAAAAATGTATTGACTTTTCTCACGGAAAGTGTAACCTTTTCTACATTGTGCAAGTGCACGTTGTAATCTCTCTCTTCAAATTATTGAAGTAATTTTAAAGTAAAACTCTTAAAAACGATTATCACCCCGGTTGTGCAGTAACAGCAGCAAGAGGACCCCAACCCCGTACTAAAGTAAGCATTATTGTCAAATTAAATAAATGGATATATGGAGTATCCTGCTTTTGAAATAATGTCCAAACATGCAATGAACGATCTTGTGCATCAATCACAGTTCCAATTGATTGTCTTGGGAGGGTTAATGACAATAGTAGATTATGAGTCATTATCCAAAGGATAAAGTTAGGGATGGAGCTAACGACGGCAAATATGATTATCTGTAATACTTTTCTTGCGATTATTGAAAGGATGATAGTATTTAAGCTTATATCATCTACTTACATCACCATCAATCAGCATAATCATTTCCCTTAATTTCTCATGATAACATTTTCTAAGGAAAATAAGAGATTTATAAAGTGGATGCTCCTTTTCCTATGCTATTATTTACGGATAACAGAGCTGTGGATTTTTGGCAGGTATTTTGAGATAGTACTACTTGGATCGGATAGAAGAATGTTTTCCGACTCTAATACATGCCATGCCTGATGACCTCCTTGGCATTCTAGAAGTAGATGCCATGGTGCAGATAGTTCCCAGATTATAGTTTGTATTTTTTATTATTTGAGAAATTATATTTATCATACCAAATTCCAAAAGCGAAACGTACTTACGTGAGTGAAGAATCTCTTGAAGAATCTTTCTTGGGCATTTAATGTGATAGGGGTTGTGATGGAGGCAAAGGCAAATGGGAAAGCTTCAAAAAGTGGAGAAATAAGCATGACTCTGACACAGAACAACAACAAACCAAGTCCAGCTGATGCTGGAACTGAAGTGGTGATTTCAATATCCGGCGATGTTTCAAAAGCTAGCAATATTAGTGTGGATTCGGCTCAGAACTTGTCGGCCTCGGAGGTGCCAATGAGCTGCTGTCCTTCTCCGGAGATTGCTGGCTTCAGTTCTAGTAGCCCCAACAAGCCTCCCAAAATCCCCACCGCTCAAACTCTGGCACGACGAAAATCACTCTCAAGGTCAGTTTCGGTGCTCTCTAAACCCAAGTCAAGATTTGGGGAGCAATCTGTACCTCTTGATAGCATTCTGGCTGAAGAAATTATGAACTCATCAATGCATGAAAGAACTGAGCAAAACCCATTTTTGCTCAATTCAAACTTATCTTACCAGTCATCACCCATTAACAAAATGGCAACTCCAAGGACACCTTTGATGGCGTCCCCGGGGGAAGGCGTGGGAGGAGAGGATGAGAATGAGCAGATCTATAAGAAAGTGAGTAGTCAACGTAAATTGAAGCATAAGAGAGTGAAAATGAAGGTTCTGATTGAATGGATTGTGTTTTTTTGCATCTTGGGGAATTTCATAGCTAGTCTTACTGTCCACAAGTTGCAACAATACATGATTTGGGGTTTGGAGGTTTGGAAATGGTCTCTCCTTGTATTGGTGACCTTTTCTGGCATGTTGGTTACCAAATGGTCTATCCGTTTTGTTGTTTTCTTGATTGAAAGAAACTTTTTGTTCAGAAAGAATGTGTTGTACTTCGTTCATGGTTTGAAGAAGAGTGTTCAGGTCTGTATCTGGTTGGGTCTGGTTCTTCTTACTTGGGTTTTGTTGTTCAACCATGGTGCGGAACGATCACCCAAGACCACTAGGATTTTGGACCGTGTCACTTGGACTATTGCTTCTTTGCTCATTGGGTCATTCTTGTGGCTCTTAAAGACAACGCTACTAAAGATTTTGGCATCATCTTTCCATCTCAATAGATTCTTCGACAGGATTCAAGAATCAATCTTGCATCAATACATTCTCCAAACCCTTTCAGGGCTTCCAGTTATGGAGTCAGCCCAAATGATTAGGAGAGCGAGCAGCACTAGTCATTTGAGTTTCCAATTAAAACAGAAAGGAAAGGAAGGGAAAAAAAAAGAGGTGATTGATATAAATAAGCTTTATAGGATGAAGCAAGAAAAAGTTTCTGCTTGGACCATGAAGGTGTTGGTTGATGTGATATCGAGCTCAGGGCTATCCACCATTTCTAATGCAATTGATGAAGATTTTTATGATGGGCGAGATGAACAGATGGATAAGGAGATTACCAATGAGATGGAAGCAATTGCTGCTGCCTATCATATTTTCTACAATGTTGCTCACACTGATGGCATGTAAGAAAAATCTATGGGTTGAAGATTTTTTGCAATACTCCCTGAAAAATCTATAGTAGAAAAAGTTTCTCCTATTTCCCTTTTCTACTTGGCATAAAATTTCAAATTCATTCATAGGTACATCTATGAAGAAGACCTGAGTCGATTCATGATTAAGGAAGAGGTGGATCTTGTGTTTTCACTGGTTGAACCATTAGAGACCAGATTAATTGACAAAAAAGCTTTCATGGAGTGGGTGGTAAGACCTTTTTTTTATCTTTAGGAAGTAGGTTATTTTTTTACTCCTCAATTTAGGCCTGGATCACTGTCTGTTAACCCTCTCCTCCCCCCTCTCCCCCTTACGGATAACAGAGCTGTGGATTTTTGGCAGGTATTTTGAGATAGTACTACTTGGATCGGATAGAAGAATGTTTTCCGACTCTAATACATGCCATGCCTGCCCCCCCAAAAAAAAAAAAGTTGCTGTTATTAGATTTGTTTTTAAATTGCAGCAATGGTGACCATTCATGTTCTTCTTACTTGTGCAGGTGAAAGTTTACAAAGGCCGGAAAACTCTTTCACATGCTTTAAATGATACCAAATCAGCTGTGAAGCAATTGAACAAACTTATAACGGGGATCCTTCTTGTGGTTATGATCATTGTGTGGCTTCTTTTAGTGGAAATTGCAACAACCAAAATACTTTTTTTCCTCTCATCACAGCTTGTGGTGGCAGCTTTTGTGTTTGGAAACACTTGCAAAACAATATTTGAAGCTCTCATATTTGTATTTGTGATGCATCCATATGATGTAGGTGATCGTTGTGTCATAGATGGTGTTCAGGTAACTTATTATATTTGCTTATATCAATTGCTTGATAAACTCTGTTTGACATATTGTTAAATTGACAGATGATAGTTGAAGAGATGAATATCTTAACGACTGTCTTCTTAAGATATGATGCTGAAAAGATATACTATCCGAATTCAGTTTTAGCTACCAAACCCATCAGCAATTTCTACCGAAGCCCAAACATGGGTGATTCTTTGGAGTTCTGTGTTGATTTCACAACACCGGTGGAGAAGATTGGGGCCCTAAAAGGCAAAATAAAGAAGTAAGTTATTCCTCGTTTCACTTGATGGTGCGAATACAAATAACTGATTTTGTATCACTGAGTCCAGCTAATAGATAATTAGAGCCTTTGTGTTAAGAATTTGGAAAAATCAGCTAAAGGACGAGGACTATCATGGACATGGGACTTGAATAGGGTTAAAACGGAGCTATTTTGAACTAACAATATAATTCTTAATGCGATCTTTGGATGAACAATCTTTACTGTTGGATGTCATAAATCGCTGCATGATGATCTTACCATCATAAGGTCGTCTAGTTATTGGATTATGTTTTCCAGTCATGTACTCAACACCTAACCAATCACATCCAGTCATGGACTCAACACCTAGCCCATCACAGTGAATTTACAAGGCGAACACCTGCTTGCTGCTGGAGTTTTTTTTATCGTGTAAACATAGCCCACATGTTGTTGTGAGTTCATTTGCATTAAATTTCTATTTTTGTTACTGTGTAAAAGTAACCTTCCATACATCATTACTTGTGATTTTAGAACATGCTATTTGATTATTCTTGTAATTGTCAGTCATTCCAACAAATTTTATCATGTGTATATGTGATAGAAATTTGAAAATCATTGTTTGACCTGAACTTAATGCATGATCATTTTGATTTAGCACTGCCTTGAAATCGGTATGATTTGTCTGCCGTTTATGTTATTTTCTCATTATTTTGGCTGGCATTGGTTCAGCTATTTGGTGAATAATTCCCAGCACTGGCATCCAAACCACAGTGTGGTGATGAAGGAAATTGAGGATGTGAACAAGATAAAGATGGTTCTGTATTTTAATCATACCATGAACTTTCAAGAGTATATAGAGAAGCTGAGACGGAGATCTGAACTGGCTATAGAGATGAAGAGAATATTTGAAGAGTTGGGTATCAAATATAATCTACTCCCCCAAGAAGTTCATCTTATTCAATCTGACTACGACTAGTGTTGCTGGGACCACCGCCACCGTGTGGCTCCATCAGAGAGACTTCATGGAGTCTCATTTGCTAAGTGTGTATGTATGTATGTACGTAAATGTGTTCTTTCTTTTTATCAATATCTGCGTGAAATATTTGCTGTGTAAGTAATGTAATGCATTGTAGGCTAAACTAAAGTGACTTTATTTGAATGTGACTTCACTTTCTTGAAAAAATCTTTTCCCTCAAATATTATATTTTGTCGTGTTGTGGTTTGTCATTTGGTTTGAAAGGATTGTACGTGCCCTGGCCCTGGGTGTTGGGTTTGAAAAGATTGGCTTTGGCACCCTCTATCTATATATATATTATGTATGTATCGCTTCATTTCTTCTCCATATTCCTATTTGGAAATATAGCTAAATAACATGCTTTTGGCTAAAACAAATCTAAAGTTAAAAAAAAAAAAAAAAAAAGCTTGTTTGTTTTTTGTTAAATAAATAAGGAGAATATGATAATTTCTTTAAAAAATAATAATAATAAGACCAGAAAAAACTTTTTATATAGCAAAACAACAATTTTTTAACAATTATTGTTAATGTACACTAAACCTAACCCACTAACCTAACCCACTACATCCACTCCACTAAACCTAACACACTTACCATCTCCACTACCACCCACCACCTCCACTACCATCCACTACCACCACTCACCTACCTCACACCTCTCCTATATAATAGCTTGTAATATACAAAATCATATATATACAACAATCTTGTAATATACACATAAATCAATAATACAATTCTCTTTTTACATTGTTTACTTACAATTATCAAATTTTAGTTTTTTTATTATTATTTTTTATAAATTCTGTGAAATAGATTATTCCTTACAAAGGCAAAAGCGCTCAAAACAAAATAATTTGAATAGTGCTTAAAAAATGAAATGTGTGGACGTTGATTGGTTAATTAAGAACAACCATTAATTGGTTCAAAGTCGTTTTTCCTATCACACTAAGAAGGTAATCAACTGGGTGACTCGTCCAACCGGCAGTTCTATGACTTTCAATGGGTACATTTCGCCTCCTAGTAAGGCATTCAAACCAATATGCATTGGCCACAACTTTTAGTCCTAGTCTTTGTGACAAAAAATCTTTACATTAAATTTGTTTTATTTTGAAATTGAATTTGCTTGTAACACAGTAGATACCATTTTATTGGTACAAATACTATTGTTAGAAAAGCAATATTTGTTATGCGATTTGAAATAATTTATTAAGTCTCTTCTTTTTTGCATTCTTGGTCTAATTGTATAGAGTTCTCGCTAGATAATTATCTTTACTTGATCATAACAAATGTTATAACAACCAATGCACATATGTTAAAAATTTTAAAACATCATCTCTAAATTCATAGTATTTAATGATGTGGTAGCAGGTTAAATCTTAAGTGGTTAATTTTTTTTTATTTTTTTTTAAATATCATATTAAAATTCAAACTCTAGGTCTAATAAAGAGGTCCTTACCATATCATTTGGATTATCCCTTTGAAATAAAGCGGTTAACTTTTAAATTAATTAATAAGTGGCATTAAAGAATTCACAATATTTTAAGTAAATTTATTTAAATAAAGGGGATTAAAGAAGGCTATAGTGCTAAGTTGGCCCGTTTGGATTAGAATCTTGTCCGTAATGTTCCTTGATTGTTCACCACCACCTCAATTGACTAAAATTATTGATTAGTCTTGATATCACGTGATGTGATTATATTCAGAGAAATCACAAACTCTCACGTTGTTATATATTTTTTAATTACTTAACACAAAATTATAATTCTCATCCCTTCTATTAATCACAATATATATAGAGCCTCATATGGCACAATCCTTGTAGCAACCAATAACTTCTCCACAGAGTCCTCCTAGGGTTCAATCTCTTAAGGATAATGCTTATCCTTTTAGGGTGGGGATGAAAGAAAGGAATTCTTCATATCAGACTTTGCTCATCAAATCTTTAAGAGCAATGATGAGACTCCTACCCTTACAAGATTCCCACAAATCTGAATCACTCATGATGTGAACCCCAGACATACATGAGTTGGCTCCATACATACATGAGTTGGCTCCGCACATACATGGAGGATCAAGATCACTTTGGGGGTGCGGGGTCAGGCGTCACAAACATTTTCCAAATCAACTTCTTCTTCATGGTTCTTCTTCTTTTTCTCTCTCTCTCTCTCTCTACAAAATTTCCAAACCCTTCCCTTCTTGGTGCCATTGGTACTAGTAGTAGAAGCAACATATCTTTTATCAATCAATCGATCACTACCTCTCAAATTAATCTTCACCGTTTCTAAAGAGAAATTCTATTTCCATACATCTAGTTAGCTCAGAGCACACATTTTAATGAAATATAATTTAATGACAATTAGGGGTGGGCGCGGGTCGGTTGCGGCCACGGAACCTCCAATCCGCCATCTGTCCGCTAGATTGGCGGACTGGAGAAAATCAATCCGCATCCGTCCGCCAATCCAGCGGATGCGGATTGAGTAGTTTGGCGGTTTAGCGGATGGATGCGAATCAGTTTGGCGGTTTGAAATTTTATAAATTTTCAACATAGCTCAACTTGTGCACTTCCCAAAAAAAAAAAAAAAGTATTACAGTCAATGACTTAAAAAAGTATTAAAATTACTGCATGCCTCATCCAAAAGAAGAAAGTTTAAAACTTTAGATTATCACAATCACTGCATACCTCATCCACATATTACAATCACAGCATACCTCATCCACATAAAGTATTACAATCTATGGTTCTTAAAATATAAAAACAATTCAAATCACCAAAACCATGAACAGAGCAATAGTAAAGATTGTATGTCTCTGTATTGTTATATTTATATATGTTTTTGAAAATAAAAATCAACTAGCATATATCATATTTTCTATTTATTATTTTTAGAGTTAGATTTAAAAACCAAAAAATATAGATAAATAATACGTTTATTTTTTTTGAATTCAAAAAATATATTCGAATTGAAAAAAAAATTTCAACAAAATATTCGAACTCTTTTTCAATTGAAAATACAAACAAAATATTTAAACAAATTGAAAACACAAAGTCTTATAAATTACTAAGGGTGCTCGCGGTTTGGCAATTCGGTTGCGGCCAAAGGAACCTCAAATCCGCCATCCGTCTGTCAAATTAGCGGATTGGAGAAAATCAATCCGCAACCGTCCGCTCGTCATCACGCATCCGTCCAAAATGCGGTGGATCGGTTCGGTTCGATCGGTTTTGGCGGATCGGTATATCCGCTGCTCACCCCCAATGACAATTATATCCTAAATAAAAATGACCATAATAGATATTCAGCAACCTTCATAATATTATATGAAAAAATTTCTCTGCAAATATCTTTTAAGAACAAAAAAATCTCAATATACACATTTTGAGTTAAAAAAAGTAAACCCTAGTTTTTCAATTGTTGTCACATTGCTTATTACACCCTCTATATCTCTATTGCTTGCAGAACATTAATTTAGCTTTTCATTTTGAGGTTGAGCAACAAGTAAATGGGGTTTTCCTTAATTTCTTTGGCTTCAATGGGACTGCTGGTGTGTGGAGAATAAAGGCTTTGGAGGATTCGAGTGGATGGTTAGAGAGAACCACAGTTGAGGACATGGACATTGCTGTTCGGGCTCATCTCCATGGATGGCAATTCATCTTCCTCAATGATGAATATTATTGTGATACTTCATGTTGGTATCCTTAGTATTTCTATTTTTTGAGTTGTAAGTGATTTTGCGTTTTGCTTCATTTTTAGTGCCAATGTGAATTACTCGAATCATATGAAGCTTATCGGAAATAGCAGCATAGATGGCATTCTGGGCCTATGCAGTTGTTTCGTCTCTGTTTGCCCAACATTATCCGATCAAAGGTATTAAGTTACTGAAACACTTGTTGCTTGAATTTGCAGCGTGTGAAACTCTTTGTTTGATTAAAAAAAAAAAAAGAGTTGAATTATAGCTACTGATAATATTCTGTTTCTGTTCTTGCTCGAGCAAATCATCAATTGGAAGAAAGCTGAAGTGTGTGTAAAGGAGGATAAAGTAGTGTGTGTACAATAGTTATGAGTGAATGGTATAATTATAATTTTAAGTGCGTGGATTAAGAAAATTAATTAATAATCAAATCAATAAGTGTGTGTATTGAGAAGATATGTTGTCACACCCCAAATCCGGGCATGACCGGCCGTGGCTTACAGGGACTCAGCCCAAGGCACACATAAGCCTAAACATGAACCCAAAATCACAAAGAATAAATGTGATGATAGCCCATAAATAAATAAATCAAAACCCAATCCAATGACAAGTCATAAGTATAATTGGTAAAACCAACCACAACCAACTTCCAAAAATATATACTAAATAGAACACAAATCACCTACAAAATAAAATAGTTCTAAATAAAAATTCAACCACAATGTATGCACAAAACCCGACATAACAAGCTAAAACAAAATAAATGAATGCCCTAGAGGTCCATGCAATTGAGTACCTGCTACGCCATAAGCCCACTCTAAGTCCTTCTAACACCTGGAAGTGATAAACAACTAAGTCAGCTGATAGCTCAGTGAGTAGCAACATGGATAGTAAATATAGTTTTGAAAACATGGTTCAATTCCAAAATAAGATATATATCATAGAAACTAGATTGACATACAGTTTGGTAAAGAGAATCTGTTTCAAAAAGAAGGTTCCATAGTTCAATGGTTAAAATACTCAAGTCTCTCGAGAACATGATAAATGACATTTTTCACTTAAAACGGATTACAACATGAACACCAATAATTTTCTAGATACCAAGAAAATAACAAGTAATATGCCACACAGTTCTCAAGGCTATAAGCCCTGTTGGATCCAATACAGAACTAAGAGTCATCCTCAAGATGGCAACCTGGGCCTTTTCTCAAAGACGATCCAATTGAAGGTTACCTAGCTTAACCTAGGTCTTTTCCTTACAATCGTTGAGCACTAGAGTCATCACGGCCCAACCTTGATCTGTTCCCTAGTGGCCAGAGTCACCACACACAGTGGAATAATTTCCCTGGACTAAATACACAGATGGTTCCAATAATCAATACACATCAATTTCGCAAAACATGGTAGTTCATCATTATAAACATGAGACCAAAACAAATGGTTTATAGTATGCCAAGTTCACACATGTTTCAGAAATAATTTGATTTCATTGATAATATAATAATTTATCAAAACAGTTTAGTCCTGAAACAACAATTTAATTTTTCAACAGTTCAGGGTAGGGGAACATTTATAAAAATATGTAGCATGAAACTACTCACCTGGAAACGAAATAATGTAATCCTCGAATAGAGTATAAAAGTCTAACTAGTGTCCTGAACCAAGTATAAAAACTACACGTCACTAATAATTTAAAAATACTAAAGGATAAGAACTAAGTAACCTCAATTAAGGCGCACTAACACGGCTCAACCCAACTTACCATTGCTCTTAAATATTACCTGAATTCATGTTCTTCAAGGTCTAAAATCACCCAAGACATGGGTTCAAATCGAAACTTAATTAAATGTGACTTTGAGATAAAATAGATTTTTTGATAGGTTTTCTTGAACTGTTCACTAACTCTGAAAATTAAAAATTCACTCTACACCATTTGAAAAATTCTAAAACCCTCCAGATAACAACTAATATATCCTAAGTTTCAAACCCAATAGGTTTTACTTGATTTGCTTATCAAAATAATTATTTACAATTAATTAAATCTAAACAGGTTGTTTTCTGCAGTACTTTAAAGAAATTAATGGTTCTCTTAGTATACATGAGAAATCAACGCAAGGCCAAGAATGTACAAAACTAGACTCGTAATCGGTTCTAATGACGCTGATTTGATAATTTTTGGATTTATACCCAAAGAAAACAACACTTCCGAACTTACTGTTTAAAGCCAGTTTTCTAGACAGATTTGAACGCATCAGTTATATGGATTTTGACTCCAAAAAATTATGAGAAAATTCAGATATGCAATTCAATATGTAATTAATCTACTGGAAAAATTTCAGTTCAAAATTCATTCGTTTGATATGATTTCTTGATTTTTAAAGTTTGCGATTCTGTGCAGAATTTCATACTCATAGATTGTACTTCAACTATATGTACCCATTTAATGGTTTCTACCTTGGAGATGGAGTTATTCAAGCACCAAACTAATTCTTCAATTTTCACCAAAAGCTACTCCTATCTCCTCTTCACGGCTGCTAGTTGAATAATATGAGAGTTTAGGGTTTTTGTTAGGAAAACTAGGGTTGCTTTATATATATCTAAACTTAAAAGATTCTAAATTAATATCCAGTTTTTATTTTATTATATTTCCTCTCATCATTAATTTAAATAAAATACAACTATTATCAGATCAAAATATACTTACTAACTTGTCCCCTTTTTTCTTTTTTCTTTTTTTAAATAATAAATCTTACCTCTAAATTAGAGATTTCCACCATAAATTTTTTAGGTTTAAAATTAATTAAAAGACCCTCTAACAATATTTAATTTGTACTTTAGGATTTACCGACAAAATATTTGTGTTTGTAAAATTATTATTATTTAATTATTTACTTAATTTGTATATTCAGGTTCTCATATGTGTATCGAGCTAGTTAAGTGTGTAAAAATAAAATTTTCCGTTTCTAAATGTTTTTTTGGAAATAAACCCAGAAAACGCAGCCCCTGTTTCACTAATTAATTACACATTTACATCCAATAATCCTTACCAAAAAAAAAAAAAAAAAAAAAAAACATTTCCTTTTCTTTGGCGCGAACTGATAAAGAGTAAGTTGAAAGTGTGGACAGAGTTAACTACAGGGCATCTATTAATTTTTTTTAATTTGCATAATTTTTTTTTTTTTTTTTTTTTGATATGAACTGTTTCATTGGAGGGTGTTCTAATTTCATCAATTAACCGGTCGACCGGTGGATGACGGGGTAGACCGGCGGCCAGTGTAATTTTTTTTATAAATTTTTGTCTTGCGGTGGTCATTCGAGAGAGATCCGAAGGACATTCAGTGGTGAAAATTTAACGACAATAAATAGTGATTTGATGAAAGACAGATGAATTTTAAGTTTGATGAAAAAAAATAAAATTTTAAATTTAATGATAGATATAATACAACGTTAAAAATATATATATATATATATATTTTTAATCAAATTTAAATTTGACATGAATTTGATCAACATGCGAGCTGGACTTAGTTAGTTGAAAGTGTTTAGTATTTCTGTACGCAACCAATAATTGCCTTTCAAATTAAATGCTTCGACTGAGTTATCCCTTTCCTCATTCATTACATTACGGACTCTGGAAATTTTCTCTATATGTAACAAAACAAAACAAAGAAGACTGATAGATATGTCCCTCAGGCAGGCTGAGCATCTATCTAATTGTACAAGAGGAGACCAACTCATCGATAGCTCCTAGATTATAAGTATGTATTTTATTTTATTCTATTCTTGGATAATCAAGCTGACTAATTTCCAAACACGAAATCCACTTAGACGTTGTTTGTTTGGTGTTGAATTGAATGTAGCAGGAGGATTGTGATGGATGCCAATGGGAAAGCTTCAAAAAGTGGCGAAATTGGCAGGACAGAGAACAACTACAAGTCAAGCCCAACTCATCCCGGAGCTGAAGTGGTGCTTGTAATCTCCGGCCACGCTTCGACAACTAGTAATGGTGTGGATTCAGCTCAGCCTTCCCCAGAGATTGCTCGGTTCAGTCCTAGCCCCAACAAGCCTCCCAAAATCCCCACCACTGAGACCCTAACTCGACGAAAATCACTCTCGAGGTCAGTGTTCTCAAAACCCAAGTCAAGATTTGGGGAACAATCTGTGCCAATTGATTCCAATTTGCTTCAAGAAATTACTTCAGTGATGCAACAAAGAAGTGAACAAACCGTGTTTTCGCCTAATACAAACTTATCTAGCCGGGAATCGCCCACTAACAAAATGGCACCCACTACTAGTACACTCAAGGAGAGTATGAAGATAATGTCGATGACTCCCAGGACTCTTTTCATGGCGTCACCGGGAGGTGTGGGAGTAGAGAATGAGAATGAGAATGAGAATGATGATGAGGATGAGAATGAACAAATCTATAAGAAAGTGAGTAGTCAACATAAATTGAAGTATCAGAAATTGAAAATGAAGGTTCTGATTGAATGGGTTGTGTTTTTTTCCATCTTGGGAATGTTCGTGGCTAGCTTGACTGTCCACAAATTACAACAATACATGATTTGGGGTTTGGAAGTTTGGAAATGGTTTCTGCTTGTATTGGTGACCTTTTTCGGCATGTTGGTTACCAAATGGTCTATTCGTTTTGTTGTTTTCTTGATTGAACGATACTTTTTATTCAGAAAGAACGTGTTGTACTTTGTTCAGGGTTTGAAAAGGAGTGTTCAGGTCTGTATCTGGTTGAGTCTGGTTCTCCTTACTTGGGTTTTGTTGTTCAATCGTACAGTGGATAGATCAGCCAAGGCCACTAGGATTTTCGACTGTGTTACTTGGAGTATTGTTTCTTTGCTCATTGGGTCGTTCTTATGGGTCTTAATTAAAGACAACGCTACTAAAGATTTTGGCATCATCTTTCCATCTCAATAGATTCTTCGACAGGATTCAAGAATCAATCTTGCATCAATACATTCTCCAAACCCTTTCAGGGCTTCCAGTTATGGAGTCAGCCCAAATGATTAGGAGAGCGAGCAGCACTAGTCATTTGAGTTTCCAATTAAAACAGAAAGGAAAGGAAGGGAAAAAAAAAGAGGTGATTGATATAAATAAGCTTTATAAGATGAAGCAGGAAAAAGTTTCTGCTTGGACCTTGAAGTTGTTGGTCGATGTGATATCGAGCTCAGGGCTATCCACCATTTCCAATGCACTTGATGAAAGTTTTTATGATGGAGGAGGTGAACAAACAGATAAGGAGATTACCAGTGAGATGGAAGCAATTGCTGCTGCCTATCATATTTTCAAGAATGTTGCTCCTACTGATTGCGAGTAAGAAAAATCTACCTCATGAAGATTTTTGTGATCTCCTATCCCCCCATCCTTTCCTTTTTGTTGCTTGCCTGTAACAGATAGATATTGATTCTTAGGTATATCAATGTGGAGGACCTAAGCAGATTCATGATTAAGGAAGAGGTGGATCTCGTGTTTCCACTGTTTGAAGGATCAGAGACGGGACGAATTGACAGAAAATCTTTAACGGAATGGGTGGTAAGCAAATCTTTAAATTGAAAGTGGGTTATCTGTTTGCATCTCTTTGTAAATTGAAAGCACCAACTAGTTTTAAATCTTACAACTGCATTTTATTTGCCTTACATGTGTTACAATGCTTTGATCACAAATGAGGCAGGGGAAGCTAAAAAAGGACTCAAAAATTTGCTTCCCCCCCCTACTGTATTTTCTGTGAACATTTAAAATAAAAAAACATTCTGAAGCCTTGTGCTATAGCGCAAGGATGGCACATCATAATTGCATAGTAGTTTAAAAAAGTTATGACAATCAAGTTGTTGAAGTTGAGTCATCGTAGATTAGTACCTTTCAAATTGAACTTGGTTTTCATAAGAGATGACGAGTTTAAGGATTATTCAAAAGAACCTGTTGTATGGTTGATCACATTGAAATGTACAATGAATTTAACTATTGCTACCAGCTGGGTAGCTTGAGTTTTGTCTGTCATACCCCAAAGAGGGGCGGGCAGGTTTCAAGTCTCAATTGGGACCTGATTGGATTAGTATCTGTTAACACACAGACACACAGACACAAAGAAGGAAAATAAAATAAAATAAAATAAAAGTTAGCTTTCTGTAGAGAATTCTTTGATTGGTATAGGAATGGTGAATATTCATGTTCTTGTTAATTGTGTAGGTGAAAGTTTTCAAAGGCCGGAAAACTCTTGCACATGCTTTAAATGATACCAAAACAGCTGTGAAGCAATTGAACAAACTTGTAACGGGGATCCTTCTTGTGATTATGATTATTGTGTGGCTTCTTTTAATGGAAATTGCAACCACAAAAATACTTGTTTTCCTCTCATCACAGCTTCTGTTAGCAGGTTTTATGTTTAAAAACATTTGCAAAACCATATTTGAAGCTATCATATTTGTATTTGTGATGCATCCGTTTGATGTTGGTGATCGTTGTGTCGTAGATGGTGTTCAGGTAACTTATACCAGGCTCATTATATTTGACTATATCAGAGTTATTTGATCAACTCTGTTTGACATATTGTAAATTGACAGATGATAGTTGAAGAAATGAATATCTTAACAACTGTCTTCTTAAGATATGATAATGAAAAGATATACTATCCAAATTCAGTTTTGGCTACCAAACCCATCAGCAATTTCTACAGAAGCCCAGACATGGGTGATTCTTTGGAGTTCTCTATTGATTTCACAACACCAGTGGAGAAGATTGGGGCTCTAAAAGACAACATAAAGAAGTAAGTTTACTGTGGCCTTATTCTTCATCTTTGTACTTGATTGTGGGATTACAAGAATGGCTTTTATATCAGTTAGTCAAGCTAATAGAATGCAGCACAAAGACTATTATGGACATGGGGTTTGTGTAGGCTAAAACAGAGCTATATTTAAACTGACCTTCTATTTTGAACTTACAATATATTTTTTACCCCTTTTTGTTTTGGCTAAAAAATCCATGTTATTGGAACTAATAAATTACTGCATGGTGAGGTTTCACTATGTTGGAGCAAGACTCTGTTGAGTTGTATTTAAAGTAGTTTAAAGGCAAGAAATGTGCGCGCTCCAACTTGAGATAAATGCTGGTATACCGTTTAAACATTACAAACATGCTGATGTGAATTTCTTTGAGTTAAAATTCCATTTTGTGTTGCTGTAACCTTCTAAACATCTTTGCTTCTGATTTTACAATATTTAATTTGAGCATTCATGTGAAGAAAACGGAGAGCCTGCCAAATTGTTTCAAACAAAACAAAAAACTAAAAAATTATTGCAACTAACTTCTCTGAACTAAACCTAACCTTGATGTGTACATATAAGTGATATCTATCACAAGTGATCCCATTAATGGGGAGACTACAAAGGAGGATAACAGAAGAAAACTCAAAGCGAAACTTCATTACTTGAAGAGTGCTAGAGGGAAATTTTGAATCCTTTGTTGTGTATGTTTTGTTTGTCGTCTACAGGCTTAGTTTGTTTCTTTTGAGGGAGTAGTTTGTTTTTGTTTTTGTTTATTCTCCCTACAAAAGATGTGTATTGAAATTCATTGTATATCTTTCTTTTTCGGTTATAATATGACTTGCTTATCCAAAAAAAAAAAAAAAAAAACCCTGGTCCATTTAATACAATCACACCACTGTCCCTAAAATCAGTATGTTATCTGCTGGTTATCATCTTTTTCTTTTTTCTCATTATTTTTCCCTTGCATGGTCAGGTATTTGGAGAAAAATTCCCAACACTGGCATCCTAATCACAGTGTGGTAGTGAAGGAAATTGAGAATGTCAACAAGATAAAGATGGTTCTTTTTTTTAATCATACGATGAACTTTCAAGAATATGGAGAGAAGAACAGGCGGAGATCTGAACTGGTCATAGAGATGAAGAAATTTTTTGAAGAGCTGGGTATCAAATATAATCTACTGCCTCAAGAAGTTCATCTTGTTGAGTCAGCAATGACTACTAGGACTGCCAAATAACTATTGTCTTGGCTTGAGACTTCATGAGTCTTATCTGCGAAGTATGTTCTCTTTTTCCTTGCTTATTCAACAACACAAACTTTTTAGGCTGTGTTTGGATCTAGGATTTCGGTAGGCAATTGCAGAAAGGAAAATGGTGAATAAAATATAAGTTAGAATTTTCTCCATTTTTCTCAAGTTTTCCTTTCCCTCCACAAATCCCTACCCAAATCCTTGATCTAAACACAGCCTTAGCTGGCTGGCACAGGGATTTTAAATCCCTTGTTTGGCATGACTATAGGAAGATATCCACTGCATTGAAGTTTGCAAGCCTGACATTACATTTACCATAGGAATTGCGATGGGGCAATTTTGTATGGACGGTTGCTTGCTGAACATTTGATCCTTAAAAGTTCGTATAATTTCAGTTTCAAGGCATCATGAATGAAGTCTGCTGTACTAGTACCCTCTTTTAAAAACCTTGATTGCTCTCTGTGGAAACTTACTGGATTCAGATAAATTACTAAGAAATTGTTATTATTGGGATAAACCCAATAAAATTTTCCTTTTAAATCCTTGATATAAGCCTTAACTATTACATAATACTTTGAAGTTACTTGTAGACATTCATGCTGTTCATATACAATCCAATCATCATCATAGTAATTTGTGGAAAGAAAAAAAAAAAATGTATATATATATATATATTCCTAGGTTAGCAGCCATTAACAATAGAATGGGTGATTGAAAAATTATATTGTACGTCTCAATCAGCTTCCAATGTCCAGTATTTTGGTTTGCCAGCAACTTTCAGGACCTCGTATCTTGTGGCCATTGAAACCAAATTTTGAGATTAATGACCAGTGAGAAAGGAAGGAAAAAAGAAAGGATGAAAAAGTATATATGATCACTACTCTGCCCAGTTTTATCTTGTTAAAATTGAGCAGAATCGTTGTTGAAGGCTCTAACAAAAACTTTTCATTTTTTATTTATTTAGTTTTTGTTCTTGAATGGTTTATGGCAGGTGCTATGAGAAGGGGAGGATATTCTTTTACCCATGCGTTGAGGAAGGTGAGTGTGGTTGTGTTGAGGACAACGCTGAAGCTGTCTGCTTTTATTTCTTCATTTCTACATTCTCGGTGACATTTTCATATCAGATATGTTACCATCTGTAAAAAAGAAATCGATCAATTTGGCTTACGCAGTATTCAGTCAAGCTTGCTGTGTAGTTACCTATGTGTAATTAAGATATTCATGACTTTGTTTTGGTGAGTCAAATAGAGATAAGAAGGAAAGGGGTGATCTTGCTCTGATATTCTCTTAGGCCCTTTGATATTTTCTCAGGGCATTGGCCTGTTGTTTTGATACTGTAGTCAAGTGGTCCTGCAACTGGTTTACCTTACTGGACCATGATTAGTTGGATTTTAGTGGACTAGATGGTCCTATATCCAGTCCATGTGACCCACCAAGGGTCCTATCACGGTAAACTTGTTTTTACTATATTTTGCTATGCCTTGTTTGGGTGTGATGTGATCATATTGCACTAATTTGGGTGCAGCTCACCAATACTAATGCTTGGTTGAGTAACTACTTGTGAAGTCTTTGGTTTGCAACCCTAAGAAAATATAAAAAATATTATGTTGCAATATTGGTCATATTTTCTTGGGTATCTTGCAAAGTTTGCTCAAAGTTTCACATCCTCTTTTGTTGGTTGATACATATATATTTTTTTTAAAAATTTCTTTGTTCTAATGCAAAATCTATCTATGCATGACTTCTGAATATATGTTTTTATTACTGTTGACAGTTTTTACTTTCATCATGCTTATAATTGGCCATGTAAAAGATATTAGTGGCTAAAGCAAAAGGGACGGGGGTATTTGGTTTTGAACTATGCAAAGCTGCCACCACATAGATCAATCTAACAGGATAACCTTATCCCCTGATACTGGGTGGAAAAGCTGCCAAGTAGGACAGCCTTGGAATGACACATCAGCAGAAAATCTCTAATTTGCACCTCTCATCCCATTCTTTTCATTTCCTCCATCACCTATCTAACACTCTTCTTCTCCCAACCAACACCTAGAAGTTAGAACTTGAGAAATAGAGACAATCCTATAATTTGACAAGCTAGAGAGAATAACAGAGCAAAGGGCATAGAAAATGGCTTCTGTTTCAATGGCTATGCCATTAACTTGTGCATCCCACAAGAGGCTACAACAACAGCCAAGCTCTGAAGCCTTTTTTAGGCCCCTCTCAGTGAGGCCATCAAAGAAGTCCGTGGCTGTGAATTTCAAGGCCAGGGCTCGGTTTGAAGTCAAAGCCCCTCTGAAGGAAAAGGCCATCACAGGGCTAATAGCAGCTGCATTGACAGCTTCCATGGTGATACCTGAGGTGGCTGAGGCAGCTGGGCCTGGTGTCACTCCCTCTCTCGAGAACTTCTTGCTCAGCATTGCTGCTGGTGGGGTTGTGCTTACTGTCATTGCTGGGGTTGTTGTCGGAGTTGCCAACTTCGACCCGGTCAAGAGGAGCTGAGCAAAAAGAATCTGAGAATGTTATGTGAATTTTCTTCTAATCTGTCTCCCTCTTCATATTTCATTGCTTTCTGTAGTTTATGTTGTATGCAACTTTCTTAGCTATATATTAATATATATTGATCTGAAAATTTTGATTTCGGAAATCAAGCTTGGTTAAGAAATTAAACCCATTTGAGAGCCAATTGCAGAGATGGGACAAATGGAATCTTTCCTAGTAGATCAAACAGACAAGAATTACACAGGGAAAAAGAAAAATGTGACAAATCCCACGCCCACGATTGATATGATAATGGAGGAATGCTTCTTAAGTAGTAACAATGTAGGTTGAGGGCCCTATAACAATCACAAGAAGCCTAATATATATATATATATATATATACTGTCTAAAACCGAAAGCTTCTAACAATTGTTCAGAATTTTGTTTCCTGCTAGAACTCTTGACCATGATTTTCTTGCATATTTCTTGTTTGCGAACACTCTTTTTCTGTACAGCAATTCCCCCTCAACCAAGGCCTGAGGCCTCAAATGCGGTGGGCTACCCCATGTCCATGGATGAATCTTGCATCTTCTTCCGTGTAAACATGAGTTTCATTCTTCAGCCTGAAACAAAATGTCAACATCATTAACACAAACTAGTATCAGTACTTTGGAACAATGATCTATTAGTGTTGTTGTGACGGATCAAAATAAAAAAAATGATTTTGGAGAAAATTGGAACTTACGTTTTGGAAACAGTTTTGTTGAGGATGGACGAGGAGAGGAGGGAGGCACCATTTAGATATAGCAATTCCCCAACTATCCTTTCCTCAATCTTCTTGTCTATTTCCCCAGCATCAATACAGAAAGGTTGGTCTGACGCCTATAACAGTTTTATACAGAATTAATCCCAAATAACTAATATTAATATATATATAGCCAACCATTAATCCATGTTTACTTACCATTACCCATCCCCACGTATCTGCAAAAGATGGCACATGAGCTGTGTATGCAAGCACATCTGCAACCACCACAATCCACAATTTAATTTAATTTTTTTTGTTCTCATTTTCATTTTAAGGGTGCAGTATGCGTGTCTAAGGAGAGAGAGAGAGAGAGCCAGCAACTTACACTTGAAGACCTGTTTAATAGTGTTGTATATAGAGGAGAAGACCTCCTTGTGGGTGAAAACTCCTGCAGGCCCTGCCTGTTTAAATAAAAATAAAAATAAATTAAAAAAAAAATATATGGAATATTAGTATATAGGTATACATGTAATGTAAGTGGAACCCAAAAGCAACAAACAATCATAGAGATATGAAAGGAGGGGTTTTGAGTAGACCTGAGTAACAAAGATGCCATTGTGATTGAGCTTAGGCTTGAGGATTTGGTCGTAAAAGGACTTGGTGTATAGTTGATAGCAAGGCCCTCCTTCCACTGGATCTGCTAAGTCTCCCACTATTATGTCGTATTTCTCCTTCCTCTCCTCCAGTTCCGCCCTTTTATTTTTGTCACACCAACCAACCAGCCAACCGACCAACCAACCAACATTAATCATCGTTTTCTTTTTAATAATTATTATAATGTCAAATGAAAATGCAAGCATATTGATATATATATATATATATGTACTAGTTTAATTAAGCTTTCCTAAATACAAACAAATTGTTTCAGAATACAGAGGTAATTAATCATATTATTGGGCTTACTTACTTGGCATCATTAATCACTAAGTTAAGCTTCTTGTTTCCGAACGCCTGCTTGTTTGCCGTCAGATATCTACGGCAGAAATCCACCACCTCCTGCAATTATATTTTTGTGCTACAGAATTAGCCAAAAAAAAAAAATTTCCACATATTCATGATGAAAACCAAAAAAAAAAAAAAAAAAAAAAAAAAAAAAAAAAAAACAGCATTATCGACATTACCATTCAATAATAAATCATCACTTAGCATAGTAAGCCTTACTACGCACATGTAATAGTTATTATATTTTCTTATATCATGCACTTTTATTTGAAACAAAAGATTCACAAGAAGTCGCATTATATGCTATTTTATTATATGTATATGATAATCTAATATCACATCTGAGACCAGCTTCAATGATTCATCAAATTCATCATTAAATTTAAATTTGATGAAAAAAGTTACTTTTTGCTACTCTAATGGTTCATCAAATCCATCATGAAATTCAGGATTTCACTTTTTTTTTTCATCAAACCGAAGGCCAATGTACCTTTCATGAAATCACTGTTTATTGCTGTTAGATTTTCACCACTGGATATCTCCCGGATGATCATCTCAAAGCAAAAATTTGTAAAAAAATTACATTGGCCGGTCGTTCGCCAGGTCTTCTGCCTAGTCGATCGGTGGTTTGATGAAATTATAAAACTTTCCGTTCGAGCAATTATGAAATTTTATTCAAAATTAATAAAAAAAAATTGGTGCACCATTAGAAATACCCTAACAAATCATATAAGAACAAAACATACAAAAAAAAAAAAAATTACAATATATACTAACTGTGACTATTCTAATTGATCAAAATCTATAAATCAAAAAGAATTTCAATATGACATCAATATTTCTTCACCTATTTTAAAGGTTTATTTATTTATTATTTTTTATCTTCATTTTAAAATAACACACACTTCTCCACGAATAATGAAACTATGAAAGTAACTTAATATTTATATAATAAACAGTAAAATATAATTATCTTGGAATAGCAAAGCAAATATGTCCTTAAAGCTTGGCTGCTCTGCTGAAGATAAAGTCAACTAGGAGGAGGGGGACATTTTTGTCGTTTAGTGTGAGTGTTTGAGTGGTAGTTAGGAATTAGGATAACAATTACTGTCAAATCAAACGTCAACTCCGTGATTATTATCAAAAGACGGTAAAGAATAGTTTTGTAAGAGTAATACTAGGTAGGGTGAAAATTTTTTCATGAAAATAATTATGAAAATTTTATCATCATTGAATTATACTTAGAATAAAATATCATACATTAATCAAAATAATCTAAATATCATAAATCTTTTATAATCATTTTATAAAATAAATTTCATAATACCTAACCTTTCTCGTTTCGTAATCTCAGTAATTATGGAAGTTGGTTACATAATATAGCAGACATCTGGACCCCACAGAACTCAAAATGCATCCACCACGTGCTACTCCCATCATATTATTATTGGAAATGAAATTTATCAAAAAAATAAAATAAAATAAATAAAAAATCATCCTTCTTCTTCTTTTTATTATTATCATTCTTTATTAATTAATTAATTACCTGATCGATATCACACATGACTACTTTCTCAACCGCTCTATGCTTGAGTGCCTCCCTTGCAGCAGAACCTTCACCCCCTCCCATTATGAACACTTTTTTTGGACTGCAATTAATCACCCATTCTCAATAAGCATACATAGTTACACAAGAAAAAAATGATTTACAAAACGTGATTTTTATATATATAAAAAAAATAATAATTAAAATAATATAACAGCGACATTAATAATGTTAACATTATAAATTACAATAAAATGATCACATATTTTTATATAAAAATTTTGTTCAGAACTTTTTATATTTGCATTATTACTCAATTATAGAAAGAGAGTAAAAAAACTTATGTTTTTAAATAAATTTTATCACACATTGAAGAAGGGGAACAAAGAATGTGTGCCACTGGAGGTAACGCCATTGAGAGGAGAGAGAGGAGGACATTCAACACCACAAGATAATTATGAAGACACTCAGGAGAGGGAGGATAATGGCACAAGTCAAAGGAAGATATCATACGTATATATGCATACCAGTTAATTTGGAGAGTGGACTAATTGAATTATAATATATATAAAATGCAAATCAAAAGACTCACATAGGGTGACATAAGAGAGCAGGATGAATTAAGCATTCATGGTATATAAACTCGTCCACTTCTGCACTCTGCATCTTCCCATCAATCACCAGCACCTACAATACACCCATATATACATACATATATATATATATATATGCAATCAGTCGTCCCTTCAGTTACATTCAACCAATTTAATAAATCAAATTAATTACCAAGTCTTTTAACAGATAGTTTTTTTTTTTTTTTTTTTTAATTATCTGAACAAAGAGTTAGAGTTAGTTGACCATGAACGAAAAACAATCAGTACTAACCTTCCCGAAGCGCTTTGTGTCCAGAAGAACTATGTCCTGGTACTCGCTTGTCCCTTTATGAAGCACACTAAGTCAGAGAGAGAAGTTAGCCTTGTTAGGTAATGAAGAAAAATAAATTATACTTGAAGAATCACTGGGCTGTAAATATAAAAGGAAAGGAATAAACTTCTCATAATATATGAAATTAGGTGCGGTTTAAAAACTATATAAATAGATGAAAGAATTTATCTTTTTCATGTCCTCCACTTGAGAATAGCTACAGAAATGTCAATTTGATTATAACATTAAATAAATAAAATGAAAAAAAAGATCCATAGAAACATCAGAGATTACAAATATACACAACACAACAGAATAGAAGCCTACTATAAAAATTAGATTAAAAAGTGCAATGAACACACCACAAAATTAAAAAGAAGATATATATGATATATTAGAGCATGGAAGAATATGTAAAACCCTCAACTACATAAAATATAGTACATATGGAAGTTATGAACACAGACATACATACTCTCTATATATATCACAAGCAAAGCAAAGCATGCATGATGGAGGGGAAACAAACCTGTTTATAGCGAAGGACCATTTAAGATCAACATCGATCTCTTCTTCAAACCAGGAACCGTTTTGATGATGATGATGATGATGATGATGATGCCCATTGAATGGTTGATGATCGGATCCTTCTTGAATTTTGCAGAAACCATTAGAATAGAAGATCTCAACTGCTTCACCCATTATTATATCAAATATATGTTCAAACCCAAACACAGATAGATCAAGAAAAGAAAGACAGTTTGTTGTTATTAACACCGAGAGAGCGAGAGAGAAAAGAGAGAGAACTAAAAGGACAAACGAAAGTGAGCAGCAGTGAGAGAATCGCAGCGTCTTGACGGGTGTGGGACTTGAAATGTGCCAACTCTAGAGCCCTTTATATAGTAACACCAACGCAAAGACAGGCATTCGACCGAAATGGTGTATGAGGACGACAAATGAGTTTATTAAGTCTCTAGATACAAAATTAACTAGAAAAACTATATAAAATAGGATAAATTACACCTAAAAAATATAATAAATTCTACGGTTTTGATGCAAATATATTGAATTCCCGTCTTAATTTACATAATATTTAGTTCTATTTTCATTAATAATTTGATAGTTATATGAATGAAAAAAAAAAATATTATCATCTTTTTTATATGACAATATATATTTTACTTTCTTCGTTTGTTTTTACACTATTTGCATTAGTTTCGATTTATTTAGCCTTACCAAAAAAAAAAAAAGTTAGTGTATTTATATTAAAATTGTTAAACTTACTGTATTTTCTCTAAATTTTAAATAGGAATTTTTTTTTAGGGCCTCTGATATTAAGATTTTATAATATAAAGGATATATAATATTTTCATAATGTCTAAAGTCCCTCAATATCAATCTAAAGAAAATTCAATTCAAAAAATTTCTCTCGACTTCCTAGAAAAATTCTCTTCATAAATTTCTCTAGACTTCTCACTCTTCAAAGAAATTCTGAACTTCTCAAAGAATTTCTCTCTAGAGAAATTTGGAAATTAGATAGAGCTTAGATTGAAAAAGATGAAGTGAATTTCTGTGGAATCACTCTTTCAAAGCCCACCACCACCACCACTACCACCACCCTCATCTTCATCTCTCTCCTCTGGCTTTCCAGAGAAGTTCTCTAGATTTTAGAGAAAATTATGAAATTGAGATCGATTAGAAGCAAACCCCACACAAAAATTAATTACTTGCCTTCAATTATCAAAATTAGATAGAGCTTAGATTGAAAAAGATGAAGTGAATTTCTTTGGAACTCACTCCTTCAAAACCCACCACCACCACCCTCATTTTCGTCTCTCTTCTGGCTTTCCAGAGAAATTATTTGGAAATCTAGAAAAATTCTCTGGATTTCAGAGATCGATGTTGTAGCATAAAGGACACCCAAATCAGCAACCACAACACCCAATTTATAAATCCAAAAGATGAATATGAATATATATACATACATATATATCATCATCACCATGAACTTTATAATGATGATATATATATGAATCACTCAAATCAACAACACACAGATTATGCATATATATATATATATATATATTTATATATGAAATATGAAGTTCAAATAATTAATAAAAGAAGAGAGGACGGATATCAGAGCCATCTGTAGAAGGATGGTTAAGATATGAGAGAGTACAAATACTATCGATACGCCATAGTCAATTTCAAAGACTTTCAATATAACAAAATTTACCAATTTCTTTAACCTCAATTAAGGCATATCTTTAGTACCAAAAATCCATATGAGATCTCAACTCCCAGGGGACTCCGTATTCACCCTCATGTCGTCCACTGAAAAACAGTGATATTATTAGAAAAAAAGTATCCCTTAACTTCCCTGGGATTGAGAAACGAAAAGTAAAAATAATCAATTTATTAAAATCAAACTCACAGTCTATTACTGAAAGCCCATTAATTAATAGTTCTTGTTTCTTATCATTAAAAATAGATATCAAATCACCAAATATTAGTTCATTAAATCCTTCCAAAAATGCAATTATTTGAGGACGAATAGCAGTAGTCAAATGATGCTTAGCAACTAAATCAACATATTCATGCTTGTTTTCCTCGATAACTCGAACGTTCCGTCCACTAGGATCAGTTCATAGTTAGTTACTTGCATTATGTAAATCAACACTTTTTTGTATTATATGGGTGTTGAGATTGAGGGACTTTAAATATCACAAAATAATATTATCGATCTTTTTCATTACTAAAAATGAAATAAGGACTTTAGACTAATTTTTTATTTTAAAAATGATCAGTGTAATTTATCCTATAAAATATAAGTAAAACAATTTAAACGAAATTATAACTTTTATAATAAGTTTTACCATCTAATATGTATAATTCAAATTGTTTTATATGATTAATTTTATAATTAATTTTGTGCTTATAAACTTATTATGATAAATTTGGATTACCGACATAGTCACCAGTTTTATGTGAAACTTTTGGCTCAATTGACAACAGACCTAACTTCAAACACAACACTAGTACTGTCCTTGCATGCATGAGAGACAGTATTTTATTTTAGTTTTTTTTTTTGAATAATTTAGTTGAGCCAAGTATAGAATAGATAGATGTTGGCTTTTGAAATAGGGAGGAGAGAGAGAGAGAGAGAGAGAGAGAGAGTAATAATGGTTGTTATGAAAGCATCTTCAAGGATAGCATGCGCAGAAACTGTTGGATTTGGCGTTTGCAAATGGGTGGAAATTATTAATAACCGAGAAATTATTATTGTTAATAATTAATAATAAGAGTAAGTGGAGCGCGTGACATGTTGGTGGGGCTACCATTGTACACGCGGGCTAAAAGAATACGTCCATGACATATACACTACCACTAGTGTACCACGCATAGGCTCTTCGCTACACTTTTTTATTTTTTATTTTTTATTTTTTTAAGAATATAATTTTTTATTTTTTTTAAAAAAAAAAAACTAGAATCAATCATAAAAAATATAATAGATAAGATTTATTTTCAACTTGAATTTCTTCATAATTAAGTTTAAATCTTAAGCCTTTGAATACATTTTTTTTTATAATCATTTTGTAACTCATTTTGTATTAGTATTACTATTTTTACTCTAGTGACAACATTTGCTTATTAAGAGAGGATTTGATAATTATATTTTTAACAATTTTCTGTTAGAATTTTTTTTTTCAAAATTTTAAAAAATTTATACTAAATTATATGAAAAAATGAAACAATAGGAGAAATTTTTTTTTTTAAAAAAATAATAACTCATAAAATATATAACTTAGTCTTAATTTATTGATTAAGCACGCAACTCAGTCTCTCCAGACTAAGTCTATTGCATATGGCTTGGGCTTATAATTTTGATTCATGGGTCGACCTAACCTAATGCCGACTCATAAATCCACTTATATGTACAAGCATAATGGTTCTTTTAAATTAATAGGCTCCACTAATGGAAGAGATATAACGTTCCACTTTTAAAAGAGCATCATATGTTAGAGTTGTGCAGCGGATCCACTAGCCCGTCAAATTCGCCAGACCCGACCCGACCATATATGGGTGGATGCGTGACACGTGGCGGGCGGATGCGGGCCAGGATTCTGCCTTTTCACGGGTTCAGGTCGGGTTGTGGTTGATCCGCCATTTCACCTAGTGGACTTGACCCGTCCGCCACTCTCAATTTTTTTTTTAATATATTGTTTACACCCATCAAAAGCGATAGAGACACACTCTCTCTCTTTCTCAGCCCTTTTCTTCAACAAACTCTCTCTCTCTCTCTCTCTCTCCAAAAAACCCTACCCATCTACCGACGACGACGACGACAGCGACAGCGATCTTCTTCATCATCTGACCAACAACGAATGACACACTGAAAGGCGATCGGCGATCGAGGTGAGATATTCTCTTCTCTTCTTCTTCTTCTTTCATCTTCTTCTTTTCTCCTTTTCTCCTCTGCTTTCTTTTTCTTCTCTTCTTCTCCTCAATCTGTTCTATTTTGTTCCAGTTCGAAAACGAAAGGCGATCGGTGATCTAATCTGTTCTTTTTTTTAAAAAAAAAAAAATTTATTTGTCTTTTGTTTTGTTTCAATTCGAAAATAAAAACCTCTGTTTTCTCTTCTTATTTCCTCTTCTTCACTTCTTTTCCTCAATCTCTAATCATTTTTTTTTCTTTTGTTCCAGTTTGAAAACCTCTAATTTATCTTCTTTTTTCCTCTTTTTCTCATAAATCTATAATCTGTTTTTTTTTTTTTTGTTGATATAATTCAAAACCTCTCTTTTAGAGTCTAATCTGTTTCTTTTTCCTTTTTTTTTTGTTCCAATTCTAAACACACAGAGTGTGAGGGTTCTACGCACACAGAGAGAGGAAGCTTACATAGAGGTTTAGTTTCTTTTTCTTGTTATTTGCAATGGATTTTGTAAGGGACTTCATAGAAAAAAAATATTAGATTAATTTGTATCCAAATGTGAAAAAAAGTAAATGTGGACTTGTTATTACACTGTATATTGGACTTGTTATTACACTGTATTGGACTTGTTGGACTTGTTATTCATTTTGCAATGGCTGGTTATTACACTCTATCTTGGACTTGTTATTACACTGTATATTGGACTTGTTAGACTTCTTATTCAATTTGCAATGGATGGCTATCCAGTGTAGACTCAACACTGGGGGCAAGTTGTGTCTGTTTGGGTTATCCCAGAATGTTAATTGGGTTCTTTGCCATAACCATTATGAGTATCATAATCATATGTTTTTGCATTGTCCTTTCTTTGATAAAGTTTGGAGTAAGTTAAAGAATATGATTAATGCATCCTAACCCTATCTTCAGTGGAATGAGTTGGTGGAACATATTTCAAAATATGTTAAGGATAAATCTATTGCTACTATTATTTCTAAACTTGTGTTTACTTGAGCTGTCTACCAGTTGTGGCTTGCTAGAAATAATAGGTCCTTAATAATGATATATACCCTAAAGAAGTGGTTATTAAGAGAATTGTGGATATGTATAAATATCCTATCAGTGGACAATATTGACAATTTGTGCTCAAAATCAGTGGAAATGAATGGACAGTGTTAAGGATAGGATATTTACTGTGGGGACATAATTTTTGAATGACAACACGTGGCCGAGGTGTCACCGAAGTGCCAGCCGAGGTGCCACGTGTCCTGGTCATGACGCCGAGGTAATCTCGGCTAGGCCGAGGTTATCTGCGAGAATACCGGAATCCGAGATAAACGGATAAGGGACAAGAGTCCTAGAATGGGAGAAGACTTCAGTTTGGGTAAAGATGAGACTCTTAGAGAGTTTATCCTAATCCTACTGGGAGTCAAAGATTAGCAGTAATCCTAAGTCCAATAGAGTTAGACT